AGAAAATATTTTATATAAAATAACGAAAGCAGCATGTTTCATTATTAATTAAAATATTTAAGTTTAAAATATTATGTATCACAGTTTTATTAAGAATCACTAATTACAATATGATAGTCACGTGAGAAGCCGAATATTCGAGAACTTACGAAAATAATCGAAGTCAGACGAGTGCCTTCCTTACCGCAAATATCAGTTACTTCTCGTACTAAGGCTCGGTCTATATATTTCATATGTCTATGGTTACATCACAGGATGTTATCACGTTGAAATAGTTGTCGATTCTCTTTTTTTTACAGCGACAGAATCGACGAATTTTATGCAAATAAAAAGATGAGTGCCACATAAGAAATCAAGGAGATATGACCGACGAACGTTGTCTCGGTTGTCTCTACAATCGTGATTGCTCTACGTAACCTCATATAATCTCGAGAGGCCGTGCTGACATTTCTTCCACCTTCGGCGGGAATCTCGAAATATTCATGCCCTCTCTTAGATCGATCTGAAAATGCCACCGAATATTTTAAAGAGCAGCTTGGAGTATGCTTCATTCAGCATTATATTTCAGGTATGCCGATGAAATCGACATCGATTATGCGCAGTTTTTCGTGAATAATCTGAGCGTCTTGAAATTCTCTTGTTGGAACATGCTGCAATGAATTAAATATATATTTGATATTGATTTGAATTAAATTCCTTATTACGATGTCTGAATTCGTTACTCGTAATGAAACTTAAGAGTATTAATTAAATTCGGTTGTATTATTTTTATATTGATAAATATATCATGTAAAATTTCAGCTAAGACTCTTCCTTCACAGATATTCTGTCGCTGCGTTACATTTGTCCTGAACGCATTTGTTGTCAGACATGTAGGCCAGGCGATCCTTGGTGTGATTAATGTGAGACTACTGTTACTGGAATCTATGATTTTGTTCTTGTCACGCGAACCATTTGTGAAAGCATGCCTGACTAATACAGCAGAGCATAATTGGGCTCAAGTTGTGAATCTACTTTGGTTGACGTTAGTTTCATGTATATAATTGAATCTCTTGAAAACTGATTGACTTTACAAAATAAGAAGTGAAGAAATTATAAGCCAATTATGTATTAAATAAAAAATATACAAAAATTGGAGACAATCAGTTTGGATTTTGAGATAAATTTAATTATTCCTCTTTAATAAAAAATAAATTATATGTATTAATTAATGTATTCTAGAGTACCGATATGTGCTGTGATGTCCTTCTTATTTGGATATATTTGGTTATTTATGCTCTCCACTGAAGAAGCATTACCATCGTATTATACATTTGCAGTTTGGGCAGTTGGACTATCATGTATCATAGAACTGTCTTCCTTAGTCATTCAATTAGCTGCAAATGCATTTCTATTCGTTAAACTTAAAGTAAGACAACAAAGAAAAACTAAGTAATATCTTTAGAGAAAGAGACGAATGTTTCACTGTTACATTCTTTCAGATAATTTTGGATACAATCATGATCGTCATTCGCACTATGACATTCGTCCCGCTGATAGTATATCATCCGGAGAACGCGTTATTCGCATTTGGTGTTGCTCAGCTTGTCGCGGCAATATTTTACACAATTAGTCATTATGCATACTTTCACTATTATATCGAGAAACTGAACAAATGCTCGCAGAAACGGCGAATGTCTTTGAAAGATAGTAATGACGAATATATAATAAAGGAGTTTCCCTTTCACGCTGTGAAAGATTTTTTACCTGGACAATTAGAAAATAACGTATGTATTAATGCGTTCATATTGTTATCTTATAAGAACAATACAACAGTCGTTCCGTAGGATTCCTATCTTGATAGGAAATTAACTATTCTCACATGGAGCTTCTTTAGGCAAGGAATACTAAAGCAGATCCTGACGGAAGGTGAAAGATTGATTATGACTATAATGCCAGTATTGACGTTCACAGAACAGGTACATATTGATATATTCTGCAATATCAACAGACACTGACTTTTTTTCTTTCTTTAAGGGTGTTTATGAAATTGTAAATAATATGGGTTCGTTAGCTGCTAGATTTATTTTCCGTCCAATCGAAGATAGCGGATATTTTTACTTCACGCAGATGGTGAAAAGAGACAAAGCAATATCTGATCAAAATCCAGTAAATGAATCCCTTCTGGAATTAATAATTACATTTTTGTACATATCTGTAAATTATATTAATTATATATTTTCAGGTGAAGATACAAGAGAGCGTAAATGTGTTGACACATTTGTGTTCCATTGTTACATCTATCGGTCTGATTGTTCTAATATTCGGTCAATTTTACTCGAGCATGTTGCTTGAGCTGTACGGCGGCTCGAAACTGACCTCACCTTTACCAGTTTTTCTGCTAAGGGCACATTGTCTCGCCGTGTTACTGTTGGGAATTAATGGCGTGACAGAATGCTACACTAACGCGACAGCTGACAGCGCGACCATAAACAAGAGCAATGTGATCATGATTTTCGAATCGATCGCGTTTTTAGGCGCATCATATCTATTTGCTACCTGGTTTGGCCCGGTCGGCTTTATATTTGGCAACTGCATGAACATGATCTTGAGAATCATATATTCGATGATGTTCATCAATAGGAGACATCAAGATACGATTTATCGCCCATTGCGCGGATTAGTACCAAAGCCCATGTTTTCCACGTGTTTACTTGTCGCAGCATTCGTTACTAGTCTGTCACATGTAAAGTAGCGTCCTGATTTCTATAAATCAATATTACAAAGCAATTTTATAAATCAATGCACGTGTGTTAAAATTACGCAGCGTTAAAATAATTTTTCACTATTTCAGAGTTATTTCTTCCCGGATGAAAAAGTACGCCATCTGTTGATTGGTATAATAATGTTTATGATTGTACTTATATCATGGACATATGAAAATTATGAATTGATCAAGCTCGCTACGAGCAAATGGTATGAAAAAAGAGACAAACAAAAAAAGAGCGACTGATCCTAGATCCTCATATGCTATACATT